CTGTCGATCGGCTAAGCTTGATGCTGCCAGTTGGATGGGCTCTTACTGACAAAGGGTTGGCAAGATCTCCCTAGTCGGCTAACTTGTGCTAACCGATTGATCACTGCTGAATATCGATCCCTTATAAGGAGCTCGAGTCGTCAGGGAAGAGACATACTAGCTATTGGGCAGAGGGTAAATTACTTTACTCCGATAGTTAGAGGTTGTGAGGAATGGCTTGAGATTAATCCCTCTGATTCTTGATGACGTTCAAAGACAATTTGGATTGGTTTCGTCATGAGGAATGACTTGTGTTTTCCTATACTTCGCTTCCGGTCGGTCTGCTTAGATTGAAATCGTTTGATTGCTTTGATTCACCTTGGTCTTGATGCTTCTGATCGAACAATTAGGCTTCAGAGTCTCTTATCGGCGGGCTTTCCTTTGATACGCCTCACCTTGTTTGGGACATCTAATCTATGTTGACATTTTTTTTATATACAATTATGTTTCTTAAAATTTAGAATTATAGGTGATAGACTGATAATTATGATTTTATATTATTATTTTTCAATTATTATTAACCTGATGTTAGATGTGTGATAGTGGGGGAAAAATGTAGATGTCATCAAATAAGTTATTTAAGAAATTATTATTTAAAAAGTCAGTTAATTCTCTTATTTACTTAAAATCATGTCATATGAAAATACTTTCAATTAAGCACTAATCTTGATGTAATTTTGAATTGAGAATTTCTAGAACTAAATTTATGATTATCCGACTTCTAATTCTAACAAATTCATAGTTAAACCGAATGTCTTGACAAGGTGAACCTGAAAACATAAAAAAATTGTCTTATTCGAGTCCAAATAAGCTTAAATCAAGCATTTGATGTACAATTGAAAACTTACATTATATGAATAATCAAACATTATCTAAATCTTACATATACTTGAAAGACATGTCATTTATATAAATTTCATATCCATACAAATCTAAATGGCAAGCTATTTGATCGCTTATGCAAATAATAAAAATAGCATAATCACCATAAATGCAATAACAGTGTTTGAATAAGATTACAGAAAATTAATATTAAATTTGACAAACAACAACATATCTAAAAAATATTTATAGCTCAGTTATCATCTAACCAAACAACCTATATTTAAATTTTTGCATTCCTTCTTCGTAAGGCTAATAATTTTCATGATTTCTTAGTTTTTCAACTCTGGTTCTTCCTTCTCTAAATGAATTATATTATATTTACACACCTATATATTAGGAGATTTAGATACATGCCACTTATTTTTTACTTATTTATACTTCTAATGTCTAAATTTTTATATTTACTTATATCACCATTCATCACTCCAATAATCTCATCATAACATATATATGGATAAGGTGCTTTTCACTTAGAAAAGTTAATACTAGTGCTATTTTCAATGTAATGTTAAAGATTTAAGTATTAGATATTCAAACATATAAGAATTGTGTGATATATATTTAAAGTAAAGAATTGAATTTCTTAATTATTTCAGTGAATGCTGGGTTTCTCTCTGGGTCTTCTGGTCTTGAATCTTTTCCAATCCCCCAGCTACCGGAGATTGATTTCCTCAAGAAATGGAATGGTTAGTGTCTTATAATCTCATTGTTTTTTTTATAATTTGGTTCATATTTTGGGAAATTTACATTCCTAACACAAAATTCTTATGTATTTACATATCTCACCCCTAATCTTTCACATTTACATACCGAGCGCTTTGCTGCTTTAAATCTATGCATGGAAATGTGGATTTGACATTTATAAAGTGTTAATTGTGCTATTTTTTGATGTTATATGTGTAAATATGAAAGTTTACATGTGAGATATGTAAATACATAAGACTTGTGTGTGCTATGTATGTAAATTCCCCTTATATTTTTTACTTTCTTTTTCAGTATTTGATGAACATTTGGTAACTGATTCTTTTAAGATGAGAATCAGAAGAAATATGCAGAGTTTGATTCGAGGTTTCGATCTTCAACCGTGCTCAAGGAGCTATTGGAGAAATCGAAGTTGAATAAGGAAAGGTAATTCACATTATGTACTCATTCCTCCTGCTAAAACTCATCAAGATATATAATATTTTAAGTAAGAGTTACTGATTTATTGTAGTATTTAATGTGTCATGAATGTGTATTTCCTATGAACTTTCATGTCTAACTTTGGACTTTTATGTTTATGCTACATAAATCCTTCATATCACATAAAAAATACTGCTATATTAACTTTTAAACAGCGAAATACACCTTTTCATGCATAGGTAATGCGACATATATGTAAAAAAACAATTTTTTTTTTGTTAGATATGTAAATACATAGGAATTGAGTGGTATGTATATAAATTTTCCATGTTTTTTTGTTTATTCATATGATTTATATAATATATGAAGTAGTAATTGGAATGAAATTTTACTTTGATCAAGAAACAACATAAGTTTTTCTACTTCCATCCCTCTTGCTCCTAATTGTGACTCTCTTCTAAATTTTGCTAGAATCAAGATCAAATGCATTTACTTATGAAAGAGGATTTACATATAAACCACACAATTCTTATATATTTACATATCTATTACCTAATTGTCATTGTAAATATATAGAAAGCTTTAGAGTCACAATCACATCGAAGCATTTGCATGAAAATATACATCTCACTTTATAAAGTTAATATTAATGATATTTTTACTTGTTATATTTGCTACTAAATATTATTATGCTATAGATATTATTATTATTATTAATTTTTTTATTTATATATGTAAATTGTAGGAATAAAAGGGAAATTCAGGACAAATACTGCTTGAGAGGTGCTGAGTGGGGTGTGGGTGATTGCTCCACTCAAGGAATGACACAAGAAGAGAGAGACGCTTTCATTGAAACGTTGAAGAAGAAAATCAAAGGATGAACACTATGGAAACATGAATGAAGATGCCATTTTAACAATTGGGAGAGGAAGTGCATATCCAACATTTTCATTTAGGTACCTGAAGATTATATATTTTTCGCATTTATCGAGTTGTTTAGAATGCACTTCGGCTTCAATGTTCGTCATTTGATAAGTTTGGGAATCTTAAAAAAACAATCTTTTTATGATTTTTAATGTAAAATTGTCTCTTTTTTATTTTTTTGGAAAGTTTACAAATGCAGCTCACAATTTTTTAATGCAATTACATATCTCATATCTGAATTTCTGTATATACTTGCAGAGCATTTTGGTGTTTTAAACCGATGCATGAGAATGTGTATTTGAGTTGTGGAAAACGATATTAGTGCTTTTTTGATTTGATTAAATGTTTGAGTGTTATTTGTGTAAATATGAAAGTTTAGTCGTGGAATATGCAAATACATAAGAATTGTGTGATATGTATGTAAATGCCCAAATGCCCTTTTTGTGGTTTTCTTTTCAGGGCATTTACATACATGCCACATAATTCTTACATATTTACTTATTTCATAAAACTCTAATCTTTAACATACACGGAAAAATATCACCTTTACTGATTTTTTTACTTGTCTAATATAATTTTTTTATGCATCGGTTTATACAACTAATCAATTCTTATGCATATCTAACACTTGAAATTTAATTTTTACATTTATGTCATATTTTCAATTGACGCACATGTTTATGTTACTAAAAAAGAGTGGTATTTTTAATGTGATATGAATTCTTTGGGTGGTATAAATATAAAAAACAAAGTTTACATGGTAGATAAGTAAATGCATGAGAATTGGATGGCATGTACGTAAAGCCCCCCTAAACTTTGGGTGTTATATATGTAATTCCATAATAATTGCATGGAAAGTATGTAAAATTATTCGATATCATTTTTTATTTTTTTGGTGAATATTCTAAATTTAAAGCTGGTGCAGGTAACTGATCACAAGAACTATTCTGACTGCTAGGGCTGTTAAAAAAGCTAGTTCTTCGGAGCTTGTGTTCGGCTCGTTCGTTAAGTAAATGAGGCGAACATAAACAAATTTTTAAAGCTCGAATTATAAACAAGCCGAACACGAATAGCTCTTTGTTCGCTCGTGTTCGGCTCGTTTTAGCTCGAAAAAAAAATTAATAAATATATAAATAAATAAATAAATTTGTCGTGCGTGCATTTTGAGATTCATGTCGGTAATTCTAGTGTATACTATATATATATATATATATATATATATATATATTTTATATCTAAGTTTAAATCGTAACTACTCTTGTGGTAATATGGTTATGTACTTTGTTTTGCATACATTTTGTTCATGTTCGAATCTAGCACTCAATATCTATTTTTTCAGTTTAATTTTAACGAGCCACCGAACACGAATGCACTGTTCACGAGCCGTTTTCGAACACGAGACGATTTTGAACACGAACAATTTCGAACGAGCCGAACACGACGTTTACAGCCCTACTGACCGCTAGGACGTGACTGAAGAAAGAAGTAAATTGCAATGTCATTAAATTTATTTGCATCCCAATTTGTAATTACAAAAAAAATGAATTTTAGTTCATTTATTGGTGGTAAATGGACCAGTTTTTTAATAAATTAATAAGTAAGTTGAAATTTGAATGTATGTTTAGTCTTTTATGCAAAATTATTGACAAATCATTTTATAAATTTAAATAAATAAGTAATTAAATAAATTTTGAACCACTATTTAACTATTTTGCATAAATTGAATAAGATTTAATAAGTTACGAGTAATTTTTCTTGCAAATAAAAAATGTAAATAGGTATAAATAAAATATTTCATTGAATTAAATGAATATGAATGAATTGTATCAAAGTGCTACGCATATTGATTTTACATGGGGCTGTTTTAGTCTCTAAGTTTTTAGAATTGCCTAAATAGTCCTCATCGTATTTAAATTTAGGTTGAAGCAGTCCCCATAAATAGAGCTGTCAAAAGAGCTCGTTATTCATAAGTAATTTATGTTCGACTCTTTAAGTAGTTTGTGTTCGACTCGTTTGTTGAGTAAACGAAAGAAACACGAATAAATTTTTTAAGCTCGAATTATAAATTAGCCGAACACGAACAACTCTTTGTTCGCTAGTGTTCCGTTCATTTTAGCTCGAAATACAAAAAAAAAAATATAATTATATATAATATATTATATATATTTATATCTAAGTTTAATCAGTGTGGTAATGTGTTTATGTATATTTTTTTTTTATATTTGGTCTATGTTCGAATCTGATAGTATATATATATTTTTTCTAATTAATTTTAACAAATCAATTTTGAGCAGAACACGACCATACTCTTAACGAGTTAATTTCGAACTCGAGTAATTTTGAACGAGTCAAACAAGACTTTTTTACAATCCTATATATGAAGAATTGTTAGAGTTTAATTTTAAAATAATTGGAGATTATTTTTACACTATACTCATTATAATATATTTTATTTAAATAATTTATTATATATGATAAAGTTATTGTCGGATTTGTAATCAGGACCGTAACGTACAATAATATTATGCGCGATTGTGCACGATAGCATAAAACATCGCACAGGAGGCGCTGGCACCCCGCACTCACAATCATGTCCACAAATAAAGAACAAAATTAAAATATCACGAGATCTCCACCGTTGAATTTACTCTTAACATCACTCTCAAAGCACGAAAAGAAATTTATTATTTACAGAAGCTTAACATATATGTATATATAAAGTTGAAATTGAGGGCCGTGGAATGCGAAGCGAGGAAGGTGGTTTCGTCTCCCTTGGTCACTGACTCGCTTCTTCATAGATTTCTCCAAATCTCTGTTCTAAATCGTCGCAGAAGAGGGGAAGAAGTAGAAATCGAGATCTCGGATCGAAGTCACCTTCTACAGTTCGTTCAATTACTTCATTATTTTGTTCTGTTCGCGCTTTTTTCGTTCTTTATTCGAGGCGAGGGTTAGTGACGTCGATCCATTGTACTTGATATACGGTCTTCTTGTCTGCGATCGTGACATGTTTGAATTGATGCGTGCTGGAGAAATTCGTTGGGAATTCGGGGTTGGTTTTCATGCTGGGGATTGAAGTAGGTGTAATTGTACTTGATATTCGGTCTTCTTGTCTGCGATTGTGACATGTTTGAATTGATGCGTGTTGGAGAAATTCGTTGGGAGTTTGGGGTTGGTTTTCATGCTGGGGATTGAAGTAGGTGTTGAGTCACTGTATTATTATTTGTTCTTATTGTTTGTTTGCAAATGGGTTTGGGTTGTAGTGTACTGGAAATACGAATTGCGTTTGGTTTTAGGGAGTAGTTTGATGCCCGGGGTACTAGGGTTTGGTGTGGGTGCAGATGGATTCTGGCGGCAATGATGCTAAGATGTGTAATGGGAATGATTCGTCTTCCGTTGGGGTATCTAATGGGGGAGCGGATAAGGCGGAGGAGAAAGAAGTGGAGACAAGCTCACTTTTGTGTTCGGCGTTGAAGAAGGGAGGAATGAAGGGGAGGAGGCAGAGGAGCAGGAGGAAGAAAGTCCAGTGGAATGATTGCAATGGCAACAAGCTCGTGGAAATTATGGAGTTCCAACCGAGGTTTAAATAATTTTTCCTTACTCTTTTTTTTGTGCCATTCTTATTTAGCTTAGCGGGAAAAGTGTATATTTGTATTCTTTTTAGCTGATTGTACTTCATCGTTTTGCAGTTAACTTGAACTAGTTATTTTCATTTCATTTGCTGCTTTATATTTGTGGTTAAGAAGCAGATGCGTTATTATTGTTATTTTTCCTTAGTTTCTAATGCCTGAAATGTCTGGTGAAAACTTGCACATCTCCTTTTGAAATTTCCATGTTTTTTATGTTTGTGATTTATCTTCATGTTCTCTTAATGCAAACACTAATTTTTATATTATAGCTGCTACGGTAAGATAAAAAAAATCTTTCAAGGCCGTTCACGAGCATAGAATTTTCTTGTAATCTGGAGCTAAATTCCTAGAGCCTATACTGTTTTTTTTAATTATTTGGCTGAGCTTCTTGCCACCAGATATCAATCAGTACCTGATGCTAGTTTCCTGTCCTGCCTCTAAAGTGTCCTTGTTAATGATATTACAAATTCCTCTCCAATTCCTTGTCATTTTTTATTCTCAATTGCCACAGCATCAATCGCCATCTTGGTCATTTGAGACCAGAGTTCCTGTGTTTCTTTAAAGTTGTTAATTCAAGTGCCAAACGAGGGAACTACTCATCCTGACAGTCACTCTTCTTATTCTACCACATGAGAGGCCATATTTCTCTTCATTTTAGGTTTCATTTAATTCCTAATATTATAGTTTGCTAAATATATAATTTTGTATCGTTACAATGCTTAAGTTGGTGTTGGACTGCATCTTAGATTTACGTTAGATAGGATTTATCAAATCCTATAAATGCGGATTTATCCGATCCCTGCTACGACAGAAGAATTGCAAGCGAAAACAGAATAAATCCGCCTCACAATCGGATTTATGAAAATCTAGATTAACGTCCTAAAAATGAAATAGCGCGAGAAGTGAAAAACAAAACACGGTGAAATTGCATTTAACGGAGTTTTAAATTTAATTAATTAATTAATTTTTTTTATGTTTGGCTGGATTTAAGTTAAATTAGTATGCTATCACACATAGCCTAAGTTTGCAATTTGTATAATCTAGAGATAATTAAAACTTCACTGCTATATTTTTTATCGTGGTCACCATAAAAGCTTTATTCTCCACATAGATTTGTAATACTCCATCACTTCTATTTCTTGGATTCACCAGTCTTGCTATTCTAGACCAAAAAGTTATTGTACCCATATTTTGTTAGTTTATTTTTGATGGTGCATTCTTTTTTCTCCAACTATTGATGCATTTTTCTTCTCTCTCATAAAATAAACTCACCTCTATAGTAGAAGTATTAATACTCATCTCACAAATCACCGGAAGATATTTAGCTCACTGTTGGATTCATTGTGATAAGGCATCTCCTTGTCGCACTTTATTGATGACACTCACTTACTGACCTTGCATTGCTTCACTTCTCTCAAAGACCTAAGAAAGCTCCCAATGCGCCTTTACCAACAATTCAGCAAACTAGATCCATTTTTATTCAATATTCTTCTATTTCATAATATATTTACCTTATTGTACTTACATTTCATTGCCTAAATCATCTTAATTATATTAATCACGACTAGCATTTGCCTTGTGCCAACTATATATTTAGCTTGTAAGAAAAGAACAAAGTGTTTTCTAACTTTTTTTTAGTTTGGTAAGTTTTGGTTGTTGACTCTAAGAAATGTCATCTCCATTTTTTCTTATCAAGTGATTCATGAGATTTAAATTACAAATTGTGCTATTCCTTTTGCATAAGTGCTAGTCATATTATTTTTTATTTATCCATTTTTCCTTCTACTCCTTATTTCTACCCACCTTTTGTATTGGTGCCCTCATATAATCCATTGTTCATCCTCAAACCAGCCAAGTGCTCATGCGGTTACTAGTCTGTTGAAAAGATTTAAAAAAAGATGATGATTTCATTTTCACATTTTTATGAGTGTGAAAAAATATCATCACTTTTGATGAAGTTTGAAGGTTTTTTTTGAGCTTTTTAAATTTATATTAATTTCTAACTACGTTCAATCAAATGGCTTAATATATAATATGATCATTTTTTAAAACATATTGTTTTAACTTCAAGCTACCTAATTAGCTATAAATCAATTTTTTTTAATTAAAGACGGCTACTCCAAGCATCTTTATATTATTATTATTTTTTATTTCATCTTTTCTATTTTTTTCCCACATTTATACAAAGCGTTCTCATATTTGTCAACCTCAACTTAGTTTTCAATGAGGACTCTGATTTCCATATATATCATTGATGGTTTATTTGTAGTTTGTAGACTGTATATTTTAGGTCTTTATTATATTCTTGTGCTGCGTAGACTCTAATGCACTATATTGTATAAATTGCATAATTTTGTACTCTCTAGCTTCTACAAATTCATATTTCCTGTAATCATATTTCTTGCTAATTTCTGTTGAACAGACCTTCATATTTTGTTCTTAAATTTTTTTCCTTATTTGCTTGGATGATATGAACACCGCTTACTAAGCATTATATAGTTACATAATTTCTAGATGTAGGCCTATTGAATGTATTCTTTGGTGGCTCAGTAAAAATTAAATGCCGCCCCATTCTAATATTTCGTTCTTCTTTTTATTGAAATATTGTATATTATAAAAGTCCTATCACATAAAAAAAATTGTTTGTCTCGAATCTTCATTAATGATAATTTCATCTGGTAAAAGTAGGTTATGTATTGATGTTTATGCTATTGGTTCTTCCGAGCATTTTGTGATGGCTTAAACTTCTTCCTTTGGTGCACTTCTAACATAGGGCTCAAGAGAGGGATCAGCCGGTCCTCAAGGGAGGGGGGTTGTCGGCTAAGGGTGTAAACGAGCCGAACACGAGCGAGCCCAAGCTCAGCTTGTGTTCTGCTCGTTTATATTTGAGCTCAAAAAGTGTGTTCGTGTTCGTCTCGGTTGCTTAGCGAGCTGAACACGAGCTGTTCACGAACAAAAAGTCGTTTTAACAACCATAATTATATAGTCATAGATGTTAAACGTTGGGGCAAGATTTAAAAGTTATTGTTTATATTAAAATATCGTTTGAATCTAATTTAATAATTTTTATTCTATTTTATTAATAAATACTTTTAATTAACTATAATTCTTTGTAGCCTTGTAGTTATTTAATTTTTTAAAAATATTGTATATATATATAGCCGAACACAAACGAAGAAATCTTTGTTTGTGTTCGGCTCGTTAACTTAGCGAACGAGCTGAACACGAGATTCTTAACAAGTCAAACACAAGTTGTTTGCGTACAACGAGCCGTTTTGACAGCCCTAGCTGCCACCTCCTCCTTTCCTTTTTCCCTCATTTCCTTTTTCCCTCATTTCCTTTTTCCCTTCTTTCCCTTTTTCTTCATTCCCATTTTTTTTCCTTTTCTTCATTCTTATTTTCCTTCCTCTTCCCTCCTTTCATTTTTCCCTTCTTTCTCTTATTCGTTCTTTTTTATTTTCCCTCCTCTTTTTTATTTTCCTTCCTAGCACTTTCCTATTTTAAAACATTTTTTTAAACTGAAATATGATTTTTATTCTCCCTTCTTATTTTAAAACCGGTTCTTATTTTAAATCCTTTTCTATTTTAAGCCCTTCCTAAAATTCGAAATCATGATTATATTTTGTTTTTCCTTCTTATTTTAAATCATTTTCTATTTTAAATCTATCATAACATCTGAAAGCATGATTATATTTTATTCTCCTTCCTTATTTTTATTACCTAAAATAAGTCTAGTCTCTTTATAAATATGGGATGATATGCCTAGAGTTGAGGATCTTGTTTTTATATCTAAATTCTGGTTTTATCCTAGAGTTTTTTCCTTTGAGGGCTTTTTCCAACGTCGAGGAAGTGCTCCGACTATCCCTCGTCTCAGGTGGTGATCTTCTCTAAGGGTCTGAGTGGTGCTGTGGCTGTATCTCAACTCTGTCGAGATATTTATCTGTCCGTCCGTCCTCTCTGCTCCCCTGTAGGTCGCTGTCGTCCTCTATTTTCCTGCTGCTACCAGCCCACCTCCCAACCCTACCGCAGGCTGCCACCACTCCCGCCCTCTGCCCAGCAACCGCCAGCTGATTCCCAGCCCTCCAAATCACCTCCAGCTCCTCCCTGCAACCCTGCAGGCCGATGTCCTCTACTTTCATGCTTCCCAGCCCACCAAATCCCCCTCCAACTCCTCCCAACCACTTTCCAGCCCCCTTCTACAGCCAGTAGGCCGCTGTTTTCTACTTTTCTAACGTCCCAACTGCTGATCCGCTACTCTCAGCTGCTGTCCCACTTTCTGGACTTGCTACCCCACCTTCCAATCAACCTCCACCGCCCTTGGGGTACACTCTCGAGGTGTCCTTTTGTGATTTTGGTGATGTTATTTCCAGTTTGTGTGTGTTATAACCCTCTTTTCATGATAATAAAGTTGCTTTTGTTGTGGTGTAACCCTTTTTTTGTTTTTTTTTTTTTTAGCTTTCTCCTCCCGTTTCAACTTCTTCCTCTGATAGAAGATTATTAGCCTTCCACTGGAATGACGTTAAAGGATATTTGTTTCGGTTTATGACTGATGTATTCGAACTAAATTAAACTGTCCGCCTAAAGTGAAACACAATGACAAAAATTCTACAGCTGATTCTGAACTAGAATGGAGCCAAGTTTCTGAATTCTGGATACAGAAAGCTTAGGAGAATATAGTTTATGCTTGTTCGGTGGTATGTGGAGTAGATTACCAAAACATAGCAGCACCCTTTGGCCATTTCTCCTGACCATCTTCGAATTTACCTAAACATCTCTCATATTCTTCCCTGGCAACCTGAATTTTCTAACAAGGAATATTTGATCTGGTGTTATGATGGTGATGCATTGATGTGTGTTCATATTGACAGTTAGCTCTAATGGTTATTTTGTTGATCTAGTTATGAATCTGTTATATGGTTATATCTATTAAGGTCGGTATTCTAGAATTTTAAACAGTCCTTGTTATCAACGAAGGGCTGCATTAGACTAACTATTGTGTTGACAGGCTTGAACCAAATTCAGAACGAATAAGTGCCTAAATTTTATATTATTCAATTTACCATATATATTGGATGTTGAACATAGCTTGAGGTAGATCCTGTGGCCCAAATTTTCAATATTTTCTTTTATGGCATCAAGAAATAAGTTTTGTTGTTAGTTCAGTTATCAACTGTACATTATTTTTTTCTTCTAAGATTCACTTAGTTGGAGCTTGCACTCAAATCTTATTAGAGATGCAATTTTGTTCTTGGTGTTAGTCTATTATTAGATAACTTGCCATTTGATATGCCCCAGTTATATGATAAGTTCCATCAGTTGTGCGACAGGATTGGAATTACTGCGTTGTAAGAAAACTCTTGTTCCTGTGTAATATCTCTGGTTGAATGTCTGGCCATTCCGTAGATCACTTTATGTTAAGTTCATTATGAGGTAGAATAATAAATACCATACCTTATGCGACTAACTTTAACTCTCCGTCTCGGTATTGTATAATAAGTTACGCCCAACATACTTTCGATTAGATCCGTACACATGTAAGCTGTGTTCCTATTTATGATACCTTTTGAGTAGACTTTTGGGTTGCAGAAATTCAGGTTTATACTGGAATTTTTGTTTAATTTTGATATTTTATGCTCATTCACATCCTATTCTAAGTACAGTGTCAATATTCTATGAAATATCCTTGACAATTGATTAATGAAATTTTCCTTCAACGTGAAGTCCTCTTCTTCAAATGTGAGGCTTGAATTCTTTCAGTATGCAATGTTCTTATTCAAATGGAAAATCTGATATTTTGGTGTCTTATTCCTTCTTCCTTCTCCTTTCTGTTTTCTGTATTTTGTTATCTGTTGTAAGGTGTGATTAAAGATATTGGAGTTAGGAAATTATCTACATTGCAATTCTGTAATATCTGATCCAACATCTACATTTACCCACATAGCACTCAAATCTTTAATACCACAAAAAATAGCACTATACCACTTTTAAAAGTTAAATACATTTTTTCATGTATAGATATAATGCCACAGTTCTATGTATGAAATTTTAGGGTGTGTTATGTAAATACATAAAAATTGTGTGTAGGTATGTAAATTTTCCTATTTGATATCATGGTTTAATTCATTATTTTGCTAACCTGATGATTATTATAGTCCATAAAATTTCCTTAATTTTTTTTTTGCATTTAATTTGTAATAGCATTATATTTGGTATACAGAAATTTTTAGAGCTTCATAAGTTTCTGCATCAAGTTTGGTATCTTTAGTTTGCATCAAATGTTGACAGATAGGTTAATCAAAGCGAGGTATTTAGCATCCTTTTTTTCCGATAGATTAACAAATGGATGAAATCTTCTTAGGTTTGCTACAGAAATTTGGTGCACGGGACTTCAACGAAAAGTTACATATAACAACTAAAACTATGGTTTAATATCCTTATTTTATAGAGATTAATAAACAGGTTAAATGTTGTTAAGAGGAGTTTAATGCATTATGGCTCTAACAAGTACTTGTCCATAGTCTGGTTATCTAATCTGGTGAGATTTGGCTGCATGCATTACAATTATCTAGTTTTGTGGCTTATCTTGAGGTGGACATGACCAACATTGCCATAGAAAATCGTGGGAGGTACTCGCTTTTTACGCCTCAAAATTTCCCCATAAATAGCATCGGTGGCAAAATTTCCCCATAAATAGGAAGCAAATAGCTTTTACGAGAGGCATCATCTTGAGTGCCCCGAAGGTGCTTTTTCTTCTCATAAGATTGATGATGACTTCATATTGTAATTTAAGTTAGCATAAATCAAATAATTAGAAAATAATTATCTACTTGAATAAATGTTTTTTTTCTTTTAATCTATTAAGCCATTTCTCAATTATTTTAAAAACTTTTTAAGGGGAAAAAAAAAATTCCTAAGCTAACAAACATTCCCTCATTCGCTCTTTTGCTCCCACGCCTATCCACTTCCTCATAGCATTTCTCTTAGAAATCACGCGATCATTGTTTCTCCCACATCAATTCTCAGTAGCTCTTTAACGACTTGCTTGATCGCTCCTACTATGCTGGCTCGCTATTTTAATTAATCTTTTTTAACAGCCTCGCTCCTTGGCCTACTCATGGGGATCAATTTGCTCCACTGACTTGCCAACCTACATCTCTCATTATGGTCGCATGCACACTTGCCAGTATCTTTATCTTCTCTCTTTTATTCAAGAAGCCAGGGTTTCAACTCTTTGTTGTCGCCTCTCAATGGATCTTAGTTAAAGTCTATCATGAGAGTTAAATCCGTAATGCATTTATTTATTTTTAATATTTTATAGACTTTTGAGATCTTATGAATTTGAATGTTATTTTTTTAAATTTTTGGATATTTGTTTATTACATTTTTTAACCTTTTCAATCACACATCATTTTCACCGTTCGGACTAATATTTCATGTTTGTGTTATTATATTCTGTAGTTCGAATTTGAATAAAATGATTGTGGAGTTTGAATTTTATTTGTTTTTTTTTTCCATTTTTCAGTTATGCTGTCTTTTATCATATTTTTATTCATAAATATTTAAATTTAAAATCATAGGGCTTGTGCCCCGATGTCTCAGTTAATCCCCAATCAGTTCAGTGCTGACCCATAATGTGACACAAATTCTTGAAAAATGCACCTTTTTTACTCTGGAACTACCATGCATTTCCCCTTTACATGCCCTAGTTGGGACTCATCACCAAGCATGAGGTGAATCCCTTATGGTGGCTTGGACGGGCAATCTTATGATTCCAACACGATAAACCTATTTGGGGATCATATGATTCCAAAACCAGATCTATCACTCCTGCATATTTTTGGCGACCCCATCGCCTCACCCAATCAAGTGATCCTTCGGACTTGATTTTTGGTTGAATTGAGTCTATTTTGCTGAATTTCTGGGATATATTTTTAGTCTTCATCTAAATTTTTCTATTTTATAGAAGAGACAACTAATCATAGGAGCTTAAAACTCACGAGTGATCTTTGAATATTGAGCATAATGCTCCCAGAAGAGCGCTGAATCTTTGAGCTGTAAAAAAGGGTTCAAGGCATCTTTATATTAATGAAGTATTTTCAGAAAGAATGATTGAATGTGCAATTCCTTTTAGTATCCTCTTAACTCATTTTGGGATTTGAAGGTTTCTGCGAGATGTCTGCTAGATTGTTACTTAAGGGCAAATTTATTTTTTATTAGCTTACGGGCAATTTATGTTTAGGGTTAGGGTTATGCATGAGATTGAGTTTTGACACTTTGGGTTAGGGCTTGGGAGAGATTTTCTTCCTCTTAAATTGTAGGAATTGGGAGAGATCGCCTACCTCTTGAATTGTAGGTGTTTATCTTTGTATTTATGTTGAATGTTTGATGTTTTTGCAATAAAATATTATTTACCCTAATTTTATTGGGGCAAATTGATTCTCTTAAGTGGAATTCTTGATTTAGTGATTTCTTTTCTTTTTGTGTATGTTTGGTCTCTAGTTTAATTGATTTTTGTTATGTTAGATGCAGTCTGAATTTTGACGGCAGCACAATTTAAATTAAGTTTATGATTTAGTTTTTTGAATTTCTATGCATCATATTCAGTATAAGACTATTATAGTATCTTATGCGTGAATATCTTCCTTTTTTTTACATCGGAGCAAAAGCTTTTTAAATTTAGAGTTTTTTTTATGTGGAATGTTTTGTGCACATTTGCATGACTTCATACATCTCAGTTTGTCTTATTCTTATTTTTTTTACAATCCATAATAAGAAATAGCACAATATCCACTGCACGCACTCATAAAATTGACAGTATAGACTCAAGACTTCTAAAATATGACCTTTTGTGGTTACTATCAACCTCTACTGGCATTCTAACAGCAATAATTGTCTTATGTGTGTCTTATTCTTATTCTTATTCTTATTTTTTTTTAAAATCCATAATAAGAAATAGCACAATATCCATTGCACGCACTCATAAAATTGACAGTATAAACTCAAGACTTCTAAAATATGACCTTTTGTGCTTACTATCAACCTCTACTGGCATTCTAACAGCAATATCATTCCTTGAATTTTTTTTTTTTTTGATATGTTTTCATCATATTTCAGGCTGCAACTTTGTGCCATTTGAACCTTAAACTTTGTGCTAATTTGTTTGTCTCTTCTTTTTTTTTTCAGTGATTCGAGCGACTCTGAAGACGAGTATGCTGATCCTTGCATCTGTAATATATTGTAGATAGATCTCTTGCTTATTTTAATCCTACTTTTATTACGAGCGACGAACTCTTGTCGCAGATATCGTTCAACTGACTCGATATGGTGTGATGCTCTCGCCGGCTGCATGCTCATCTGTTGCTGCATTCAAACGCAGAGATGACTGATATCTGGGTCGAAAAATCAGTCATTTTTTTTCATGATGGAAATGGCATATTTCCGCTTCATCTTTGTTTCTCAATAATTGAGAACTCTAAACAACTTGTTATAGTTGATATTTCAGATTTATGGCTGGCATTGAGAAGCACAAGAAAATTTGCAAATTTGAAGTTTGTTCTCTGCAAGTGAGTCCATATCTCTCCTCCAAAATTAGTTGTTTTGATTTTTGGATTAACTGCTTGAAGTTAGTGTGTGAATAGTTTTTGAATAGATTTATAATCTATCTTGACATGGTGTAATTGTTGAGAATAAATATGTGTTAGGTATGATTTTTATGGCCTTTATAAACTGAGGATTATGACCATTCTGTGCCTTCTCTTCTTATTTTTCCACTCTACCTGATCCATGATTTGGCTTGGCAAAAATCTTGTGAGGTTGTGAGTTCTCTAGCTTTGGGGCAAACATTTGAGGCTTTAAAATCCAAATCTTTTATATAAGATCATACATGTCACTATTTTGATTTTTCTTAAGAAAATGCTAAAATGGGTAGTGTTTTGGGTATTAAAAAAAATGAAATATCTTATAGTGTCAAATTCTAATGCTCATCTTGTCCTAAATAATAAAAAAATATATAAATCTTAGAAAATATGAAATACACCTTTTTTTTGAAATATGCATTTGCATTGCTATATTAAAAATTATGAAAAGATGTAAGTATGCACCTATGATGTACAAAAGTGAGTCATGTCCTCTACATTGTATGGTATAAAGGTTTTTATCATCATCTATATGCATTAAAAAAAGAAAAATCACAAAGGCACGCCTGGAACAAAAATGGGCTACCTATTACATTGATGTGAGACATGAAAAAAGAGAACTTCCTTAAAATTAAGCAAAAAAGCAAACAATTGTGTCAGCTACGGACAACGTTGTTGTATATCTTTAGACATGGAAGATCTTAGTAGTTGCATAATGTTTGCATCATCACCCTCAATTATAATGCTCTTGAGCGCATACATCCAATGTTGGCAAAGGAGATGAAGAGACCGAATAGCCATCAACTCAACTTGGGCGCTATCCCAATATTCGAAGTGTTGTCCCATAGCCATAACACTAATCCCTTGATCATCACGAACAATAGCTCTGGTACCAGCAACTCTGGATGATAAAAGAGCTGCATCAACGTTTATCCTTAACCACCTACAGTCGGTGTGCAATGTGTACATTTATGAACTTTAGCGTTGCGAGCTCGACTAGATTCACATACATCTCTAGAATTCAGAATCTCATTGTGAGAAATTATATCTTTAGTCCTCTCCAACTATGCTATGCTGCGGGTAAGTGTGTTGTTATGATGCATATGATTTAAATATTTCCTGCTCAAAAAGCTGCAAATGTATATATATATATATATATATTAGAAATGTGAGCCCAAAAGGCAAAAAGAAATATTTAAACTTTTTAGGTGTCTAAGTGAGTCAAAATGACTCGTGAGTCGACTCAAGCTCCGCTCAATAAGTGGCTGATGAACTGAGCGCAATATGCTAACAAGTCAAGCTCAATCTAGCTCCAACTCAACATGTCAGCTAGTGAGCTTGCTCGTTTAAGAAAATATTAATCTAAAATATACTCAAAATAGATTAAATTTTAATTTTTTAAAATATTTAAAAAAAATTAAAATACTATTGTGTATTTAATATTAAATGATTTCTTATTAATTGTCTTCTAATTGCCAATTCTATTTTTCACATTATTATAGTAATATTTTAAATTTATAATATTTTCTCTTTTATAATAAACAGGACGGCTCAAACTCATAAATATAATGTTAAGTTCGAGCTCGAACTCAATAAAATTAATCAAGCTCAAGCCAATAATGACTCGAACTATTCACTTGAATACCTATTATCCACAATTTCATAGTGAAAAATTATATCTTTAGTTCTCTCTCACCACACGTTCGAGTAGGTGTGGATGATGATGATGATGCACATGATTGAAATGTAGGCACGTGTCACAAAAGAATAAAGAAGACGTTTCCCACCCCGTTTCCTGCCCGTTTCTTCCATTTCCCTCCATTTCCTCCCTTTAAACTCCACCTCCTCCAATTCTTCTTCTTCCTCCAATCTCCTCGCCCCTTTCTTTCAAATCTCGTCATGGAAGCCGAAACTGATCCGGCGACTCCACCGAAAGTTGAAGATACAGCGATCAAGGAGCAAAAGGTCGACGCCCCGGCAGATAAAGGGCTCGGTCTCGATCTTTCCTTCCCTGCTAGCCAGAGCTTAATTTGCGCGAACGTCGAGTCTTCTTCCAGTTCAAGCGACGACCTCGCTGCGCCGAAGGTAGAGACGACTGCGCCGCCCGGTGAGATCGAGGTGAGGAATGAGAGTAAGGAAGTAAAGAAAGGGAAAGGACGGCTAAAGAAATTGGGAGCCGACAATGACTTGCTTCTCTGCAATGTAAGAGTTCGAAATTCAAGTTTTAAAGATCAATTGGAATAAGGGATCGATATTGTTTAATTTTTGGTTCTTTGGCACTTTGGAACTATAATTGAAGTGAGGATTTGGTGTTTTTTTTTTTAAATTTCTTCAGGAAACAGAGAAGGTAGATTTGATGAAATTTGAGATTTAGGTATTTCGGAGGTGATAGAGGAGAAGAAATTCGAAGATATAATTATTATCAAGTTTCTTATAGTTTCTTTGAAATTTTTTCAGTCGAACTTGTTTTGGCAGGAGCTCCTCTTTTAATTTCTTTGATCTGAATTCAAGGATGTGTAGGGACTTCTCCGAATGCATCTAGAGTTTAAAGGTGGGGCGTCATGTTTTAAGTGGGCTCCACCGCTTTTAACACTGATCTATTTCACTGTATTGCGGCGGGGCCCACTTAACACGTGGTGCCCCACCACTAGACTACGAACGTAATTTGCGTCTGGAGCCCAGATGTGACATTTTCTCTGTGTGCGTAGGGCTGTTAATAATCCGATTTCGAGTTGGGTTGGGTCGGCTCAAATGATCTGAGAGTGGCTATAAAACGACTCGAAATTGAAACTTAGCTTGCTCAAAATCATTTATTTTGATTCTTTTCAACTCAAAATTGGCTCAATCCAACTCGAAATCGAGACTAGCCGACTCAAATTGAGTTTTTTGGATACGTTCAAATTCGAAATCGGCTCATGACTTATTATATTCAATTTTATTTAGCATTATATATATAATTTTTATAAATAAAAGATGCTTCGAGCAAATCTTGAGCTAGTTCTAGCCGATTCATGTATTGCTCAAATTCGACTTGAAAAAGATTCTATCAAAAGTTTCAACTTACAGTCCTGCTCGTTTATTTCGATATGATCTCGATCCGACCTAAAATTCAAATCAATTTTGGGGGAATTAAGGATCTTCGAGCTTAATTCACAATCATATGTGCGTATGCACCACTTGATAAAGATTGTTATTTCTTTTTACCCTATGATGTGAGATTGGGTTCAAATATGATCTCAAGTTCTTAGTGAGTTAAGTAAATGATTTTATTATGTGCTGTATTAATTAAAGGGGCATTTACAAACATGGCACACAATTCTTATCTATTTACATATCTCACTCCTAAACTTCGTATTTACACACACAACACTCATATCTTCAATATCACATAAAATATACTTTTATAATTACTTTTTGAAAATGAAATATATATTTTCATGCATAAATTTAAATCACCAAAATGCTGTATATATAAATTTTGTAGAAGGTTTATAAGCAGTGTTCTTTTGTTTTGATTTAACCTATTTATTTATTTGTTCTGATTTATTGCAGCTTTCGGACAATAGGATGGTCACTCTCCACAAATTCCATGGGCAAGTGTTAGTTTCAATTAGGCAGTACTATATGCAGGATGGAAAGCTGCTGCCTTCACCCAAAGGTGACATTTTTTTTCAATAAACAAGCGAAATAAGTGTCTCGACCGCGTTTTAAAAAACACAAACGCACCGATAAGCCGCCCCAAATGGGCCCTCAGGACTTTAAAATATTAAAAGGGCTGCAAAATGTAAGAATATTATAATAACTTTGAATATAACTTTGTGGAGTCAGATAACCAACTGCAAAAAATGTGAACTTAGCAACACAACACCACTCATCTGGCGCCTTCCTTTGAGAAAGGGAAGCAGTCCAGAAATCTAATGAGTGTCAGAGCACAAATATGATAGTGGCAAAATTTAATTCTAGAATATTGGCAACATATTTAAAGATTGTTGTAAGCCAACTTAGCAGTCATTCATCCATAACTATCCACACGATTATGTTAACATCAAACCTGTCATATATTTGCATATTTGTCCTTAAAATGCTTACGTCCATCATTTTGTCTGAAGGAATAAGCCTCACTCGTGAACAGTGGGAATCCTTCGTAAGAGCTGTCCCTCTCATAGAAGCAGCTCTCAAGAAATTTGGGTCCTTTCCCCCTAAAAAAAGAAGATGAGAGTCCTCCCTGCGCTGAAGTTGAATCTGCAGCTGATAGAGCATGCTAAAAGAGTTGCCTTAGACCTTTCATTGAGCTTTATTTCATTTAATAGAGATAAAACTCTAAAATCAGATGTTCTATCCTCAGATCTTTTTTCTTGCAATTGCTAGTGCTTTTCTTACAGCGCTTTTCTCATTCTCTCATCTTTAAGGCTGCAAATGAGATCTGCTTTTATGATTGTGTTGTGTTTTATACTTGATACGAAAAGGTTTGTTCTAGTTTGGTTTGAGCTCCATTCATATCAGCATTTTGAATCTATTAACGAGCAGCTCATTTAATAAATCTAAACTAGCCTAAATCATGCTTGTTCATGGACATAAATGAATCGAACAACGAGCTGTTCACAAACAATCTTTAATTGAGCTTCTTAAGGAAATTGTTCAAGAACTTTAAACAATTCTGTGCATGGACATAAATGAATCGAACAACGAGCTGTTCAAAGTTTATTTACATCATTCATTTGAATTGCTAATAATTTTGTTTGACTTCCACAAAAAAAGAAAAAAAAAAAATAAAATAAAGTAAATTCTATTTTGTTTGGTGAGCCCATTCACTAAATTTTGTAAATGAAGTCCATTTATCTCTCTCCCATTTTATTGAACTATATAACCTTGCCCTCATAAAGATGAGATTTCACACATACAAAATAAAAGAGAGGAGTTTCAAATCTTAAAAGACTGATTAGATAGAATTAAAAAATTACATTATTAACCTGCTCAAATGACAACACTAACTCATATCTAACAGTTTTAAGCTACCTATGAGGAGTAAAAGAGCTAATGATGAAGTTGAACAATATAATATGTACATAAAAATTATGCAGTTCTAAGAATTTATTTACCCTAAGCAAGCAAATAAATAAATAAACAAATTAAGTTTACAAAAAAGGCCAATTTCATTGAAATAATACCATTTCAAAAGCCAAAAAATTGTTATGACCAATGAGATAATTCACAAGCGACACCATTAATGCTCCAAAATATACACAAAAAGACTATTTTCCTACAAAAAATCAGACAAAATCGCCAATAGTTATTTACTTATTTATTACTACTATTTCTTTTGACGACTTGACTGTATCGGATGGTTCTGCCTAGTCTATATTTGGGACCCTTTTCTTATGGAACTTTGCTATCTCTTTAGAGTGAGCCTCAGTCTTTTTGGGATAAATATTTTGTTTTGGGTTTAATATCGCTTATTTTCTTTTCTTTTTTTTATTTATAAATCTTGCTGCAACTTTATAAATATTATTTTGTCCACCACAGTTTTGCAATCACGTTCACAAAAAATTGTAGTCATCTCAATCAAACCCTCGATCTCTTTGTTCTTTATTTCCAAAACAACTTTCTTGTTCTCAATCTGCCTCGGAATTTCCCTGGCACCATTTAGAAGGACCCCTTCAAAACTCGGAACTATTGAGATTTTTTTCTTGGGTTCCCTGCAAAAATACAAAAGTAACTGTTGAGAAAATTAGGGCGAAGAAAATAGCAATCGACACAAATCCAGAAGAACACAGAGATTTA